TTTTCATACACAAGATTTGGGTAAATTTACACCGATGAGGGTAAATTTACAGCATAAAAGGTGTCAATACTTCGGTTTCTACTTTACACTACATCGTGTATCTTAACATGGTCTTAGTGTAATTATACTCCAGGTTCAGTGTGGATTTACACTAAGTAAGCATTCATATTTTTTACACCACACCGGTGTATATTTACATTATTATGGTGTTATCTCATACACAATCATTGGGTAAATTTACACTAGTTAAGGGTAAATTTACACCGCAATAATAACTAATACATTAGTTTCTACTTCACTGCAGCTCAGTGTATTTTAACGCATTCTAGGTGTAATAATACGGCAGGAAAAGTGTAAATTTACACTTCGCAAGTGTTGGCATATTTACACCAAATAAGTGTATATTTACACCATCGCAAAGTGTAAATTAACAGGGAGAAGAGGTAAGGTTACACCGTTTTAATGCAAATCTACACCGAATTAGGTGTAATTAGGATATTTTCTATTTTACACCTAGTAAGTGTTACCAAAACACTAAAATAGTGTAAAGCTACACTGTGGAAGTGTAATGTTACACTCGAACAGTGTTTAATTCCGCGTTACACCTAATCAGTGTAATGTTACACCTTTTTGGTGTTGCCGCAACACCGCGAGATTTACAGTGTACATATAAATGCCTGTTTACACTTGCAATTTTTGTTGCAGTGCAACTTCAGAAGAGATTTTCTGCTCCTGATGGATGTGAACGAGTGAAATAAGTGAAATAGTTATGGATGCTATGACTACAAGAATCTAAATGTGAACATTCAGAAGTTATTGTTCGTAATTTACATCCATCAGAAGATGAAAAATTGAAAATGACCCTCATTTGTAATCACAGCAAAATTGCAAGTGTATAAAAAGGAGCTTAGCTTATCAACAACAATTTAAAGACTGTTCTCTGTTGATCACCAATTTTAAGATCTGTTGATCACCGGGATAGACACTGGTGTTGAAGTGAGTTTACAGCAGATCGAATGTCATGTTGAATTTCATGCGTACTGACAGTGGTATTTAATAAATAACAAGTCTCACCAGTGGTTGTGTCTATATATGCTGACATGTCTCTGAGTCACTGTCTGTCGTATCACTCGATTCGGACTTCTGGCATGACTTTCGAAGGACCTCTTCGCGGTTTCTCTTGTTTTCAAGCCTGTTTCTTGTAGATCTTGACACCAGTTGATCATAGTGATGGCATAAAACCAGATTCCTTGACTCGTCCATTGACATAATTGTCATTATTAACCGAATCTAACAAACCTCGATCTACACAGTAGTCAGTACGTACTTTCGGTTTCCGAATAGGGGAATAACAAACCCGCAATAATCAATATAATAACTTTGTCTCAAAAATAACAAAATCCCCTTGTGTTTGATCAGCTTGTAGCCTTGTATGACTCGACCTTTTAATTTTAATAATAAACATTCGCCGGCAGATATCGGAGTTTTCTGACAGTGAACGAACCTGACCAAAGATTTAAGGAGCTTTCCTGTTGTCCTGAAACTAACATTAAATCTCACAATTGCTTTTGTTATGGATTAGGGTTCACCTTAATACATGAAAGGTAAACATTTAAATTTAGTGAGACTTTCATGCGAAATTAAAGCATCGTAAAATCATAGTCCACCCATGCGCTAGAAATTGAAAATTAAAGGGCCTTAAAGAACCTTAAAGCTACCTTAAAGCTTGTTTAAACGATATTTTAAGGTCACCTACATTTAAGGCATACTTAAAAGCGCCTTAAAGCTTATCCTCAAACTTTAAGGAACTTTCAGTTATCCTTAAAACCACTTAAATATCAATTTTCGTCCTGTGATTTTCATTTCTCATTTCTCCATTCATGGTCAAATCACATCCCACTTCTTCTCTTTCCAAGTCACTTTCTCCATGATTTATTTCCTCACTTAATACTCTTTGTTTTATACTCTCCAGTTCAATGTCTGTTAACCAACCGTTCTTCCTTATTGCTCTAGCTTGATCACAAATTCTTTGTTCTTTTGCAGGAAACACTCCTCTCTCATTCCAGATCCTATGCATTCGCTGTCGGTATCCTCGTTGAGGTTTTCCATTTTCGCTAAACGGCTTACCTAAATAAAAGCACTCCATTATTAAAACATTGATTTCTTTCGTCCATACCAATCTTATAGCTTCAGCAGTAGCATGACGACTGGGCCTGTGCTGCTGATCCACAGGACACCTGCCGGACGAGGGACATTCACTAGTCGTTCCAGTCTCATTTACGTCGTTGTCTTCTACATTAGTAGTATTCATAATTTTTCACCCATATATATGAGGTTCATGTAATGTGTACTGGTTGTAAGTCCATCCTGTGTTGCCCGACTAGCAGGATAAAGCTATTACTGACAGGTGTCGCTACTTCCTATCAGCCATCGTTATTCACTCATCGACACGATTGACATCTTGAGTTACGAGTTGATTTCGTCGTGGAACTACCACTATATGAGTTGCCAGCCAAGGCTGAAGAGCCTCATATGCCCTGGTTTAAAATTAGAGTTTCCTTCTCCTAGGTGAACTACCATCCAAGGTTGACGAGCTCCACCTACCCGAAGCATTGGTTATTTAAAGGCGCCAATTACTCGCCTCTCGCCCCTTCTCCTGTTAGTTCCAAACAGTTCTGCCACGTGAAGGCCAGGAGCTGGACTTGACTGTCAGAGGCTTTATGTTGCGCTTTGTATTATTATTATTACCATCTGTTATCACGGGAGATCGTTTACGACCTGACCTTCTGCTGGTAACTGAAAACAGATGTCTATACATCCTCGAGCTTACAGTCGGTTATTAATCCAATCTGCAAGTTAACGCCAATCGTAAGCGTCAAAAGTACCGTGATCTAATCAATGAGCAGGAAGCAGATTATGATAAAGTCAAGTTCGTCAATTTATCTTTGAGTACCCTCGGAGTTTTTGGCCGATCTTCTGAAAATTTCGATGGCATGCCAAGTAGCCTTAAATGTGATGCCAAGTATAGTAAATACATAAAAAAGAAAATCGTGAACATATGCATACGAACATCATATTATATATTTTGTAAACGAAACAAGGTGTGGGATAACCCAAAATTAATGTTAATATAATTATCCTTCTTAAAATAATTATTGTGCAATAAATATATAGTATCAATTCAAGTAGACATTGATAAACTACCTGTAAAGCGAGGTTTACCATTGTAGTTGTATATATCATAATAATCTTAATAAATAAATTTTCCATTATTATTATTATTATTATTATTATTATTATTATTATTATTATTATTATTATTATTATTATTATTATTATTATTATTATATATAAGGAACAAAATTTTCAAATTCGTGCGCGACAATAAATATATCGAAACCTAACAAACATTCAAAAGGGTTTCTGGCCAGCACGCCGGGTCAGCTCTTCCCAAAAATCGGCCATCTGATATAAACTTTTTCAATATATTTCGGATGGACATGAAACTTGCTACATCAATATAACTTTCCATTCCGAACAATCGTATGTTTTTTATTTTTGAGATTTAACGGTTTTTGGCGGGAAAATGACGTCACGAAACCTCCAGTTAAAATTTACTTTCAATATCTTAATAGTTTTGTCGCAGAATTTGGAAGAACATGTCATGAACAGTTCAAAACTGTAAACGGATTTTAAATATCTAAACCTAATCCAAAGTTATTTCACTATAAAAACCGTGAAAAATCTAAAAATAGTAACAAAATGGTGGAAAATTCGATTCTAAACTCCCTGTATCTCGTGATTAGATTAAGATATTTAAAATCTCTTTTCAGTTTTGAACTCTTCATGACATGATCTTCCACATTCTGCTTAAAAACTATTAAGATATTGAAAATAAATTTTAACTGGAGGTTTCGTGACGTCATTTTCCCGCCAAAACCCGTTAAATCTCAAAAATAAAAAACATACCATTGTTCGGAATGGAAAGTTATATTGATGTAGCAAGTTTCATGTCCATCCGAAATATATTGAAAAAGTTTATATCAGATGGCCGATTTTTGGGAAGAGCTGACCCGGCGTGCCAGGCTTATCTGGTAGAGTTGATTTATTAAAGCACGCCTGCAACAAGCAGCGGTCTATCATTGTCACTCTAATCGATCTCAAAAATGCATTTGGAGAAGTGCACCATAACCTGATAAAAACTATTTTAAAAAGTCACCACATTCCTGACGAAATCATTGGTATGATAGAAAACCTTTACACTGATTATGGTATCTCAATCTTGACGAAGAATTTTATAACCATACCGATATCTGTGGAACGGGACATACTGCAGGAAGAATGTTTTTCCCCCCCTTTACCTTTTAATTTATGCGTGGATATACTCATTAACACGATAAATGATGAAAGGATACAGTGCCTTGGTTATGTTAATGATATATCCTTAAAACCTTGTCATTGGTTCCAATTTGCGGACGATGCTGCAATTATATATGTGTAATGCATTTAGTAGATGGTCCCTTTGGGCAGATTTATATATCCGAGTAAATAAATTCCACACTTTTGGAATCAAAAAGTTTGGCACAAAAGCAATCCTGTATAAACCTATTATAAAAATCAATAAAAGTCAACTGGTTCCCCCAATCGAGGACGGTGAATATTTTAAGTATTTCGGTAAACAATTCAATTTTGAAATGGATTGTACTGAAACGAAAATTGAGATCCTTGAAGAAATCCAATATTACTTAAAGAAAATTGATCTCATCCAAATAAATACTTTTTCCAAGATTCGTGTTGGTCAAAGTTATGTATACTCAAAGTTATTCTGGCGTTTTTCAACCTACCCACTAACTACAAGTAGGATACATTCTAATCTGGACTCTATAATTTCCAAATATATCCGGAAATGGCCCCAGATCCGAATCAGCGGTAACATTAGCCGTCTAAAGCTTCCCAAATTACAACTGGCAATTGATTATATATATATATATATATATATATATATATATATATATATATATATATATATATATATATATATATATATATATATATATATATATATATATATATATATATATATATATATATATATATATATATATATATATATATATATAATCAATGTAAACTGACAAAGCGCGGAATTTTGAGAACTTCTGTTAACTCTGATATTCAACAGCTATATATCAAAACGTCATCAAAAAACATCGTCACCGATGATATTATTGAACGGGTGGCTGCTGGTATCTCTGAACAATATATGTTAAGAAACGCTGCAAAGAAGATTCTGGTAAAGAAAAACCTTCACGAAATTTGTTCAAACTTTGTAGAACTAAAAGAACAATCCGTGATCATTACCTGCTTAATTAACTGATACTTGCTATAAGAAGATGATTAAAGTATGGCACGAAATTTCCACCCGAATGCCAGCAATATAGTATGCTTTGCTAGGCGAGCGTTAATTTTAAGTTTAGGAAATAATTCTAACCAAAAGCGCTGCAACATTCGTGACTCCGCCAACTGTGAGTTGTGCAACAAGTTACAAACCCAGATACACGTTTTTTCAACTGCAAGGTACCCCTAGAACAACAACGCTATACTTGGCGGCATGACTCGATTCTGATGACTATTATTCATCACTTAAGGTTACAGGACACCCTTTTTGGAGTTTTGCGGAAAATCGCAACTGCGCGCTCAATATCAGTCCGATTTTCATCAAATTTTCACCAAATGTTCTCCAGTGCATGTAAAATATGGTAAAGTTGTAAAACTAACAAACAATAAAATAATGTAAGAATTATTCAGGAAAATCATAAATCGCGGTACCGTTACGCTTTTGAGTTGTGCTCCTGCTGGTTTTAAGTTATATTTATGAAAATATAATTTTTATACAGTAAAATAGTTGTTCTAAAAAACTGTGTTCGGGAATTTTTGTTTATTTCTTCATTCCGCTGATATGGCGATTTCTTTGACGACAGCAATATATTTCTGAATTGTTTAAGTGAATTGCTCTTTATTTTTAAAATATCCAAAATTAATAAAAAGCCGAAAAATGTTTTGAAACTGACGTCTTTAGCTATGTTCTGTGAAAATTTGAGAAAAATTGGTGAAAACCTGCAGGAGCACAACTCGTTTGAAAAGCAGTAATTACCGTAAACTTTTACGGGAGAAAATTGAATTTGAATATTACATTTTCAATGTTATTCTTATTGCAGCGAAATGTATTTTATTAAGTTTTCAACATTTTTCGTTCAAACTTGGTCAGATAGTAGAACTAATCTAATGCTTTCATTAAAACCAATAAAAAATTTTAGGCAATATTAACACTCAAAGGTGTTCTGTAACCTTAAGAGTTGCAATTGGTGCGGATCTTCGACTTTTCGCGGACTGTCCTAATTCAGGTACGACGTGTACTTCAACTTCATTTCGAACACTAATACTCAGCATAGTTGTGGATTTTAAGGGTTCTGTATGTGTGGTTCAATTAACTGTTCCCTACGAAACCAATTGTGCGAAACCAATTCTACGAAGGCTAACCGTCCAAGAAAAAAGATACAGATATCTAAGGTCCGAGCTGATCACGACGTGTCATGCGGTTGAAGTTATTACACTTGAAGTAACCACTCTAGGTTTCGTGTCGAAATATATTGACAGATTACGTAGATTATTACTGATTTAATTGAAAGTCTAATGTGATATTTGTAAAATATTACCATGTTATTAGCCTAAGAAGGAATAAACATTAATGTAAGCTAATCATAGCTATAATTAGCCTACAGTAATGTTTATTTCACAAACCGGTTTGACATATTTTTACAAATGGCCAATCACATGCGAGATTCAAATTCTGACCCTAATCAAATCTGGAAGTGGGATTTGCAACCGATGTGACCAGGGGCTGTTCCTGCTCGCCTCTCGTTTTTTTCGCCTCCCATGCATAGAGCCTCTGGAACCATGAAACTTTAGACTACAGAAAATTGCAGTCTAAATGTAGCAATTAAACGACATGTGTGACAACTGAATGGTAGTCTTTGGTAAAGTGTTTGGCCAAGGGTGGGTGTTTATTTTTTAATTGATATTTGAGGTTGGTTAATAATTTTTTTATTACTTTTTAATGGTTGGGTCAGCAATTTTTTGCCACGGTAAATATTTCTCTTCGGTGCCACCCCCCGCCATAAATAATGACCGGTCGCTAACATTTACTGACAATAAACACAGAATTATACAAACTCGCAATTAGTAAAGATATTCTGGGCGGGAAATATATATACAATTTCACATCAAAGGTAACTGTAAATAGCAGTTGCA